GTTGCGATAGGGGGAGTGATGGATCTTACCCCCTTCACTTTGAGGCCAGACTCCCGATGACCCCCTTCACCTGGGCTGAGATTGGTATCGTACTCTGAGAATATGATAAAAATCGTTATGAAAAGCAGGCTAAGTACCTCAAACAACAAGTACACTCATAAATTTACTAAAGAAACGGTATTTATGTTTATTTATATTATTTATTTATCCTCGTAGCATTTTGGAGAGAAGAGAGTAAGTACACAAAATCACTTAATTTTTGAAGCACATAAAATCTCTCATATCTCGCGGCACAGAAGACCTAGAAAAAAGTCGACGGTCTACGTCGATTCTCCATGATCTCAGCTTTCGAATGGTATACAGCATGTTAGGGCTTCTTTGCTTTCCGGCTCTAAAAATCATTTTCTCCGGTAACCGATAAAAGCCAATACATTGGTGGAGCCGGATTGGAGCAAGCTGATAGTAAATATCTCCACCCCATTTTTGAAAACTGGTCTGTTTTTTCGCCCAGCAACCTATATACCATTCGAAAGCTCAGGAAAAGGGGATTCGACCTAGACCGTCGACTTCTTTCTGGCCCCCCTCTACCGAGAGATACACCGCATTTTATCTGAAAACATGGTCATTTTCAACAGCAGATTTCTGCCAAATGAAGACCTAATCACTGCTGCTTATCTATCTGTGTTAAAGAGCAAGTCTTCGTTAACAAACGTAGACCGTCGACTTTCTCGTAGCATTCATTTGGAGAGCAGAAAGTGAGGACACAAAATCAGTTAATTTTTGAAGCACATAAAATACCTCTTATCTCGCGGCACAGAAGACCAAGAAAAAAGTCGACGGTCTACGTCGATTCTCCATGATCTCAGCTTTCGAATGGTATACAGCATGTTAGGGCTTCTTTGCTTCCCGGCTCTAAAAATCATTTGCTCCGGTAACCCATAAAAGCCAACACATTGTATAGGTCGTCCCGAAAGTTTTTGAGCACAATTTTCAAAAATTCATAACTTCTGATTTTTCCAACCGATTTGACTGCTTTCAATTTTATGTGAAAGGGTAAGTCATGCTCTTTATAATGACATCTTATCTGCTTAGTAATGGTCATCTCTTGCATAGATAGAAGCTCAAAACAAAATCACTCAAAATTTGAATTTTTGTGTAGGGTCATAAAAAATCAGGAACTTGCAACAAGATCGGAGCAGTCGGTATTTTAGGTTCTTTCACCAACTCTTTCTAACAGTGCAAAGTTTGCTCCGATTGAGCGTCTCCATGAAAAGTTATAATTTCCGAGCAAGCAGTACAAAAAGGCGAATTTGGTTTATTTTGGCATTCTTCAGGGAAATCATAACTTTTCATGGAGACGCTCAATCGGCGCAAACTTTGCACTGTTAGAAAGAGCTGGTGAAAGAACCTACAGTACTGACTGTTCCGATTTTTGTTGCAAGTCTCCGATTTTTTATAACCCTACACAGAAAATTAAAATTTTTACCATTTTTCTTCTATCGCTCCTATCTATGCAACAGATGACCATTACTAAGCAGCTGAGATGTCATTATAAAGAGCATGGCTTACCGTTCACATAAAAATGAAAGCAGTCAAATCGGTAGGAAAAATCAGAAGTTATGAATTTTGAAATTTGTGTGCAAAAACTTTCTGGACGACCTAATAAGAGCGAGGTGGAGCAAGTTAATAGTAAAAAATGTGCTGTGGATTGACATCGTTATCAGCACTAACGGGAACGTGAGCGAACGCATCTATTTGAGCGTGCTTATCGTTGTTATATGTTTATGTTTTTTTTTTGGTAAAAAATGCGCTTTTGATTGACAGTTATGCTATCATTGTTAGCACACACTCAAAAAACTATGGGAGATTGGTGAATTTCCACACCTTCACACAAAACCCGCCCATTTCTGGAATCTATACTCTGTAAACCTAGTGCTGAAGAAGGTGACTTTCGTGAAAACGCTCTAGACTCACCTTATCTAATTTGTAGAGAATGGTTGGTTTCAATGAATCAAAAACTCTAAGACATTCAGAAGAATAACATGTTATTAAAATATTCCTCAATGTTTTGGAAAGGTTGGCAGTTTGAAGAGGAAACGGCAGGCAGAATACTTTACAAAATCGCAGATGACTCGCACGTGTTCCAGTTCAACAGCGAGGCAGAAGGAGAATCTTACGCCGACGAAAATGTTGTCGACATTGATACAGAGTTGGCAATTGAGCGAAACTCTCTGATTTCCTGCATAAGGAATCCAAGCAGATTGTCTAGTTTCAATGAGGAAATGTCCAGGAAGTCCATTGCTGATCTTCAGGTTGCTGAAGAATTCAAGGCTGCTAAATTCACAAACATGGATATGAACAAAAGAAAGGTGCTAGTACAAAGCATAGTTACTGCGCTTAGATCCCGGCTGGAGTGCGAACCCAACTCTGTGCTTTATGCTTCTGAAAGTTATTCACCTTGTGACAATATGACCTATGATATTGAAAAAAAACCAACGCGCAGCATAGTACCTCCTTTTTTCGGCTATTCCGCAGATGCTATTAAAGAAGAAGTTGAGCAGCTTTCTAATCAGCTAACAGGAGGTATGCCAGTGGAGGTGAATCCAGAGTTCGACAAGGCCCAAAAAGTACACTATTTCCTTCCCGCGTTGCGAAAGCATATGAGATCTGGCTCTTTTCCCATTACTTACCGCAAAAATCTGATGGACCTACTAGCAAAGCTAGTTTCCATTCCGACTAGCACGGCAGAGGTGGAGAAAGAAATTTTCTATCTGCTCTGTCATCAGAACACAACGCAGAAGTCGTACAACGATAGAGCATCTAAGCAAATAGTTAAGATTTGTCAACCTTCTACTAAACACATTGTTATCTAAAAACTTCATTTAAAGGATTGATATAAGTGTCCATATCCTAAAAGAAGGTATGAAGAAACCGATCACCTACCTGCTGACTTCCTGGTCCTACCAGAGGGCCACGAAAAAAATCACAAAAGCGCTTAAAAGAAGAAGAAAGTTTCAAATCCATTTTCGACTCAGAACGCTTTTGCACGCAATTCTACTTCTACTCCGATGACCTTTTGGAGGAAGAAGAAGATTTTTCAGGTAGCGAACTTGTTGTCTCTGACGTTAGCGATAGTGATATTGTTGATGATGATGTGCAGGAAATGAAGTTGTTCCTAACTTGTACATCTTTTGGGATAAACATTATTGCTTTGGTTTTTTGTTGATGCAGTGAAACAGGAGCACAGATCTTCATAATCAATTTTTTTTAATTTTTTAATTTCTTTTGAAAAATTTTAAATTTTTTTCAATTTGTGCCTAAATAAGGTACAAATTAGAGCTCTTCATACCACGCTTTTTTACCTTTTCTCTCTTCCTCCCCCCCCCCTAGACTCACATACCCCCTTCACCTTGGAAGGTCGGAAACAGCCGAGACCCCCTTCACCTGGGGAGAGCCCGGCTCCCCCTATCGCACCTATGGATGGTGCCACACGTGCACATGTCGAGTCTTTGAAGTTGGCAGGAGCGATTGGGGGGTAGAACGATGGACAGGATCGCCGGACGAACGTATTGAAGGATCGATAGCTGCTGGAAGGACAGATGGACGATGAAGAAGGAGCAGATGGAGACTGGATGGAGCGAAGCGCGCTTAGAATTGTATCGTTGCACGTGCAGTATGTGTTGTATCGTTGAGCACGTTTGCGCGTTATAAGATCAGGGGGCGCGAGAGGAGCTCACCCTGATCTTATATCGTAGTACGCGTATCATCAGTGCTTTATCGTCGAACGCGCAGGAATTGTATCGGAGCACGCGCCATGAAGATTGGACGTTGGATGTCAGGGCTGCAGGAAGTTGGAGATGTGGAAGATCGATGGATTGATGGAAGTTAGCGCGATTTCAGTATTGTATCGTTGTACGCGTACTTAGTATTGTATCGTAGAACGCGCAAGTATTCTATCGTTGAACGCGCTATCCAGAAGGCGATAGAACGGAGGATCGATTGGACGAAAGGAGCTGCGCAGAGTCGTATCGGTGGACGCGCAGGGATAGAGCTGTATCCTCGGACGCGATGGGAAGCGCAGGGGTATGGGATCGGCACCGTCCTATAGAAATAGGAGCTTGGACCATAACCGGGGAGTCGGGATTCGGGCCACATAATGTAATTTTGGGGTTTTCGCATGGGGTAGTTTCAAGGGGTTTAGTACATTGTAATATTTGGGCTTTAATACATTTAAAGCATCTAGTAGGGGCATATGGGTTAGGGTCAGTACTAGAGGGTCCTAGAACCCAAACTCAGTTAGTCTTTTTTTCACACCACCTTGTCTTCTTTCACTCTACTGTAGTTTAGTATTTCCAAAACCCGGCTAGCTTTGACCCCGTAGTATACTTCCTTCCTCATATTTCTATTCTCTCTTTTACGATATTGGCCCAATGAAGGACCTGTAGCCGCCCTCTAAAGTAGTGTCTCATGGGGTACGGTAAGGTAAGTTTCTTTGGTGCAAAACGCGCACTTGCACCTCTGGCTCTACGCCCCTTTAGTTCGCCACCACCTCTAGTACAAGCGGGGAGCAGCCGTGCAGGGAAGTTGGGAACTGTCCGAGGAGACAGGAAAGTACCATCAGGACGCGAACAATGCAGGATGGCGAAAGCTGCAAGACGCACGGTTCACTATTAGGATATGGTCCAAGTGCCCATGGGTTATCAGAGGATGCCTCTCCGATTCGTCAGTAGGAGCCCTGAATAGTTTCTGGCCGACCTCCGGCAGGTCACTTGTCTTTGCACCTCGTTATACGCGCGCCACTCAGTGCCGTGCAGGTTCTTCAGTGACACCCAGACGTACTTCTTTGCCTTACGCCTGTGATAACTTCAGTCGCCGTTCATCCCATTTATGTTTTTGTAAGGCTAGTCATTTTTCTCATATGTTAACCACTTCATATTTATCGCTCATGTACAAATCGTTACTCTTTATTCATTGTTCTCCTTTCTTTTCTTTTTCAGATTATGTCGATGCTTGGTGCCCACAAAGCTCAGATCACTAAGGCCGCCAAAACGCTCCGTAAGAAGATCGCGGACTTCGATGAGGCCATCTTGGAACCAGTGGATATTACCACGAAGGCAGGTAGGGATTCACAGTTCATTCTTAATCGTAAAAGTTTGTTATTTTTCAATTTTACTGTTCTTGTTCGTACTGTTGATTCACTTCGCGTCCAGAGAGAGAAGGCCGAAGAGTGCGCGTCAGCATCCTGACGAGCAGGGCGAGTTCCCCTTCCTCCAACAGATTCAGGAGCATTGGGACGCTAATGAACTGGATCAACTTGTGGAGGAAGCCGAAACTCTCCGTGATCGTGTCGACGCTGCGATCAAACTCTTGACGAGCTCGGAGGCATTGTATCTTTTTTTGCGCTTCTACTGTTCCTCCCTCTCTTTGTAATCTTACTCCTAATCCGGCCCTGGACCCCATTTGTACCCGTCAGCCACCGCAGGATGTGAGAATGGAAATCGCGAGCCATTCTTCGTCGCATGACCAGGATCGCCCAGCTGATCCGGATGCAGTTGCGCGAGCTGATCGGACTTTCCCCACCCGCACGTGCGCAGAGCGTCATGCAAGGATTCGACAACCCCTCACAAGTCCCTTCATCCCACCCAACTTTTGCAAACCCCTTCTCAACCTTTCCCCCGTCGAATCCTTTCGTTTCTTCATTAGTCCCTAACTCCAACCTTCCTTACCCATCCATGGAGTCATTGAAGTTGCCTACTTTCGAGATTCCAACCTTCCACGGAGATGTCGACAACTTTTTAGAGTTTTGGGATCTTTTTTCGACAGCGGTGCATAACAACACCAGTGTGCCAGTATCACTCAAGTTTATGTACCTCAAATCACATCTACGAGGTACAGCCGCGAGTCTTATCGCCGGCTTTCAATTCACGGCAGAAAACTACGACGACGCAGTACGGACCTTGACTAATACGTATGGAAGGCCGAAGATTCTCCGAAATAGGCTCTGGAACAAACTGATGCAGCAGTCACCAGCATCAGAATCGCCGTTGTCGCATTATCATTCATATAATTCTCACGCAGTATCTCGTCAATCTTCTCCTTCGCCGCGTAGGTATCCGAGCGCGAGTCGCAATGATCCAGCGTTTACGCGCTATCGCATGTCATCGTACTACCCTCGACGTTCGTCTCAGTCGCGCACACCATCACCCTACAGCAGGCACAACAGACCACCAACTCCATACTATCCTCGCACTACGTCGCGCAGTCCCAGTAGACCACGTCATGTAGCTCGTTACGAGCCTCAGTGTGCCTTTTGTTATGAGCTTGGACATTCTTCAGAGCGATGCAGGGTTGTGCAGGATATCGCGCAACGTAGATTGTTCGTCAGTCGTCATAAGCTCTGCTTTTTGTGCTTGGAACAAGGTCACACTTATATCTATTGTAATGCACCACCATGTGGATACTGTGGCAGAATGCATCATAAGGCTCTCTGTATAGACTTTTCGCGCACATCGCAACTACCAGTTCCATCTGGTGGAAGGACCTCTTACCCAGGTCCTGAGAGATCTCACTCTCCCAAACGCGTGAGTTTCAAAGAGAAACTTATGGTCCACCTCGCGAGTATAGTAGCCGCTCACGCGCATCTCCATCGTGCAATTTTCACTCTGAATCGCCATCTCCATCTAGGTGACAGTCTTCTTTTCACCAGCTAGGCGTGCCCCATCCGCGCGCCGATCACGTAGCCCTACAATATACCGCTCATAATTCGTCAAAAAAGTCGCCGGACTGCGGCACACTCCGCCACACTCCGCCACAGTGCGCCGGGGTGTGGCAGAGTGCGCCGGAGTGCGGCAGAGTGCGCCACACTCCGCCGCAGTGCGCCGGAATGATCGTCAATTTAGCCATATCTCGCTTTAGAATGGACGAATTCTGAATCCGAGGACACCGTTCGATTCAGCTCGACGAGACGCATCATCTTGTATATGAAGCTGAACGTCTGTTTGTCTGTATGTCTGTACGTATGTTCCGAATAGAAAAATCCATTTCTGAACCGATCCGGACCAAACTTGGCACACATACACTTCGGGCCCCGGCGGGTGTCATAGGGTACTTTTCATCATCGATCGATATCGATTTTATCGATTTTTATCGATTTTTTTGCAGAGTTCACCTACGGGGCTGGGAGTTTGCATAGGGGGGTAATCGAGCATGGGGATTCGGAATACACTATTAGTTTTTAGGACTATCGATTTTATCGATTTTTTTGCAAAGTTTGAGCTACGGGGCGGGAGTTTGCACAGGGAGGTAATCGAGCATGGGGATTCCGAATACATTAGTTTTCAGAATTATCGATTATTATTTTGGTTGAATTCATGTGCTGATGACAGTATTACCATTGATCTGTCCTTGATGACACATAGACAGTATACTATAGGAGTATGGTAGAGAGCCACTCTAATCGAATTTGTTCTAAGATCTGCTCAAGATCACAATACCACGCACAGAATGTCAAAATTTCCGTGAACTTCGCGGAATTCGGATTTCCGCCAAAGTGCGCCATAATCCGGGAAGTTCGCGACATTTCAGGATCCGCGAAACCATGCGAATCACGCAGAGTACGCAACGCCATAACTTCTTTCGGAATGAATATATTCCGAATCCAGAAGTAGCATTGTGTTCAGATCGTCGAGGCAAATATTTTGGTATACAGTATGCCCTCGATATTCCATTTCCAGTTCTTTCGAATTTTTTCTGTGGAGGTCTTTTCGCAAGGATGTAAAGCAGCGTCTGTGTAACATAAAAGATTCCAGTAAGCACTGTTCGATAGTACTGTCCTTTTAGGTTATCGTGCGTTTAAGAGTAGCTGCAGGCTCTCCCCAAAAGAGATAGAAGCGTTGGTGAATTTTGGAAAAATCACGCGTTTCTAAATTCTACTCGCCGTAACTTCCTTCGGAATGAACATATTCTAAATCCGAAAAGAGCTTTGTGCTCAGTTCATCAAGGCAAGTCTTTCGATAGACAACATGTCCTTGATAATCCGATTTCGATATTCTCAAATCTTTCTGTAGACGTCTTTTTGTGAAGGTGTAAAGCAGCGCGCATTGCCCCTAGTAGATTCCAGCAAGGACCCTTCGATAGTACTTTTTCTGTAGATTACGAAGCGCTAAAAAGCAATCACAGGCATCTTTCCATAGGAGTTAGAAGGGCTGGCGAATTCTGGGAAAATCATGTCGCTCTAAATTTTTCTCAACGTAACTCTGAAATATGAAGCTCTCTTGCTAAGCAGATGTGATTTTCGTAATCAGCAGGTCGGATAACTCTTATAAGCAAGTTTTCCAAGATGTTCGAGTAATTTCATTTTTTCTCGTTTTACGCTCTGGAGCTGGCCGATGGATTTTGGTCAAAATGCTCATGCTCTTAAATTGTAAGGAAACTTCCTTATAGAGGTTTTCGAACACGCTCTTTACGAAAATAGTGTTCTTTGAGGATCACAGGGTCTTCTTGGAGAGATACGGTGAGGTGACTGTAACTGCATCACGAAAGCTCGTAACTTTGCCTCCACCTCTCACGTGTCTGTCAAAGAACCTGCCTGCTTGCTTTACTAGTCAAAGTTAATAGGAAATGTGCTATCGAATAGCGCAAGACTCAGGCTCCAGTCTATAAAATTCGCCGAGTTAGGAGCCTATGAAAACACGTTCTCATGAATTTTGCTCAGAATGTAAAGATCGCAAATTTCGTCGAAATTCCACCGTGAGTGCTTGTACAACACGCTGATCAAATCGGTGTTCTCGGATTCAGAATTCGTCCATTCTGAAGCGAGATATGGCCAAATTGACGATCATTCCGGCGCACTGCGGCGGAGTGTGGCGCACTCTGCCGCACTCCGGCGCACTGTGGTGGAGTGTGGCGGAGTGCGCCGCAGTCCGGCGACTTTTTTGACGAATTATGAGCGGTATTGTACATCCGCAGTACACAGCGCCACCCGTACTACTGACCTACCTTGTACTACCAGAGACGCGCAAGCAGAACCTCTTGATCAACAACAGGCTTGTGTAGGCTCACATTCACCATCATCATGCACTTCTGTTTGTTCTCAAGAGCCAGTGCACCAGGAGCCACGCCTAATGGTAGTACATGCCGTAACGAAGAAATAGAACGAGAACGGAGGAGCTTCTGACAGTGTTTTTGGACAGTGGCTCGCAGTATAGCTTCATCTGTACGTCGTTAGCCAAACATAGGCTTACCGTTCCGTAACACTAAGGAAGTTACGACTCTGACATTCGGAGGTCATCAGTTTACGGATTGTCAGAGGTCACACTCGTACCCTGGGACCAGTATAACTATCCGATTGAACTCGAGCTATGGACGCGCGAGACTATCACGACGGTCCCACGGACTAACACCCAAAACGACAGCGACATCGTCGATTACGAGGATAGAGTCGAGGTCGATGTACTGATTGGAATAGATAACTATTGGCGGGTTGTTGACTTACACAAGAACGAGAAGTTACCATCTGGTTTGACTTTGTCGCACACGAGATTTAGACCAGTTCTATCTGGATTGAAGTACCCAGTTGTCTACAATAACCTTTTAGCCTCCAAGACCCTCTTTACGGATAACGAGCCGATAAGCGACCATCTTGTGCGAAGTCTTCTTGGCCTCGACACAGTTGCGATAGAAGAACATGAGAATGCAGAAGACGCTTAACGTCATCAAGCACTTCTATGACACGCGGTCAGGATCGAGGATGGCAAGATTTATGTCTCCTTCCCATGGAAATCGAATCATCTCCCTTTGCTGATAACAAGGCCCTAGCCTTTCGTCGACTGCAAAATCAGTACGAGAAGTTTCGTGTTACACCATCGGTATGGGACGAATATTGTCAGACATTTGAGAAGCAGTTGAAGAGAGGAATAATAGAATATGTCACGCACGCTGTCGCGCGAGGCCCCAATGTTAATTACATACCACATCAAGCCGTTTACAAGCAGGAGAGCTCGACTACAAAGTTGCGAATCGTCCTTGATGCGTCTAGCCACCAGAAAGGTTTTCCTAGTCTTAATGACTGCCTTCATCAAGGACCGTCCCTGCTACCCGACCTGGTAGGAACCCTGATGCGAAGCCGCTTCCATCGTTATCTTGTCGTCGCGGACGTGGAGAAAGCATTTCATCAGATCCATCTACACCAGGATCAAAGAGAAGATTTCTCTGGTTGAAGGACGTGCACCAGCCACCCTCAACGGAAAATCTACGTATCATGCGCTTCGCGCGTCTGCCATTTGGCATAAACGCATCACCATTTCTACTTAGCATGTCCATTAGATACTTTCTTGAACAGGATCCAGCGAACCGTCTCAAAGAGGAAATCCTTGCCAACACATACGTGGATAACGTGATAGTAGGATCGAAGACCACCCAGGATTGTGTGGACAAGTGTATGGAGTGCAAGGACACCTTTGCCAGGATGGGCATGAACCTTCGAGAGTTTATTTCCAACAATCAGAAAGCAATAGTTGCGATCCCTCAAGAAAGCTGTATGACCATCCAAGGACATTTTGCTAAGTTTTTAGGACTCAAATGGGATCCTAAGCTTGATGTATTACACGTGCCTATCAATATCGCGCGTCAACCAGTTGTCAGTAAGAGGACCGCGTTACAAGTCTACGCGTCGACGTTTGATCCTCTAGGATTCTTGACACCGTTGCTGATAAAACCCAAGATTTTCATACAGGATCTGTGGGAGTCTGGTTATGGCTGGGACGATACGCTGATTGATGAGGATATCCAGAAGTTGACACGATCGTGCAGGACATAAGCGAGTTTCATTTGATGACGCCGCGCTTCATTGGCTATACCGAAGAAGATACGTACGATCTGGTCGTGTGCTCCGACGCGTCCAAACGAGTGCATGCCATGACTGCCTATATTGTGACGCGCCCTCATAATGGCAAGCCTCAATCATCTCTACTCTTTGCCAAGGCAAAGTTAGCTCCACCCGGCGCTATTACGATCCCGCGCATGGAGCTCTTGGCTTGTCATATGGCAGCGAAAACTGTGCAGTTCTTGAGAAGCCAGCTCAAAGTTAGATTCCACTCCATCAGGTTTCTAACTGATTCGCAGATTGTCCTTTACTGGATACAGTCCCACGAGCCCCTTAAGACCTACGTCATCAATCGTGTCAAGTATATTCGTCGCGTTTTGGATGAGCTGAAGGCAGACGAAATCGCCACCGGATTCTATTACCTGGCCACGGAAACTAACCTAGCGGACTGTGCCACCCGGGAATTGACAGCATCTGAACTTCAACAACACATATGGTGGACAGGTCCCAGTTTTTTCACGACGCCCTTCAAACAGTGGCCCTGCAAGGCTTTCAAGCCATCACAAGTAACACCCGCAGGAGCAGAATCGGAAGAACTTCGCGTGCCAAGGGCAGTCGTTTCTTCAGTTAGTAACATACAAGAGAGGTATAGATCTTTCGTGCCGTTTACACGTACGAATTCGTACGCAAAGTTGATTCGTATTATAGCATCTTGACCTGTGTCCTATATGTCCTCAAATACCTGGCTAAGCTGCGTCACAGAGTCAAGACGCGCTTTCAGCGCGAAGATCAGGACGAATGCTCTCTTTTTAGCACAATAGATACTACTTCCATTATAACATCGGACGATTTCACGGCAGCTGAACTTATACTCATACGCGAACATTATCGCGAAAGTCAGCGCCAAATGGACGGATCGTATGTGAAGTCCACACGAAATACGATACGGACGGTACTATAAGAGTTGATTTGCGTATGACCAACGCGCAGATGAGCGATACAAGTAGGAATCCCATCCTCATACTTTCATCTCATCGTCTTTGCGAGAAGTTGATCGCGCATTAACATCATCAGCTCTTTCACGCAGGACCGTCACATTTGATAACTGCTTTACGTGAGAGTTTCTTCATACCCAAACTAAGACGTATAGTAAAATCGTTTATTTCCAGGTGTGTAATCTGTAAAAGATATCAGGGTCGCCCATGCACTTATCCGAGTCCACCTGATTTACCAGCTGAAAGAGTTACGAGGAGTCGTCCGTTCCAGCACATTGGATTAGATTATTTTGGGCCTATCTCCGTCCATTTGCTGAACTGCGATCGCCATAAAGTCTGGGTTCACGGGTTCCTCTTCACGTGCATGTCGACGCGCGCGTTGCATTCGGAAGTGGTAAGAGACAACTCTACTTCAATTTATACTTGCCTTCAGAAGGTTTATGGCAGCAGAGGAACCCTCGACAGCGTTACAAGCGATAACGCGCCTACCTTCAAATTGGGACAGGAGATTATCAAGAATCAGCTGACGACTTACGGATGATTCCCAGATGGACGGATTTCTGATGAGCCATAACATCAAGTGGAGCTTCATAACCCCGTATTCGCCTTGGAAAGGGGGATTTTATGAGAGATTGGTCGGATCAGTGAAGATCGCGCTGAAGAAGGCGATACGGAACCAGACTCTAGATCTCTGGCTCTTCGAAACGCTCATCATAGAGATAGAGGCCATTCTCAACAGGAGGCTACTCTTTCCGGTAAATTCCGTCAATCCTAGTGCAAACGCGGCTATTCGACCGATTGATTTGATATCGCCACAGTTCCGAATGGCTCGATTGACTCACAGTTTGCCTCAGAAAGTTAAAATCTCGTCGAGTGACAACTATCAAGCGCTTAACACGCGCTACAGGACACTGCAGACCGACTTAGACCGTTTTTGGGATGTTTGGCAGAAGGAGTACCTATCAGTATACGCGCTAAAACCCGGTCTTCTACGAAATTACCAAGAGTCGATGAAGTTGTGCTCGTCAAAGAGGACGCGCCGAGATCAAGCTGGCCATTAGGACTTATTTTGGAACTACACACCTCAAAAGATGGCAACGTAAGATCAGCCAGAATAAGAACAGGCAAAAGGAGGGTGGTCGACCGTGCAGTGAATCATTTATTGCCTCTGGAAGTCGTAGCAAAGAGTGAGGAGCCCTTTCAAAGCGATTGTTAGCGTAGCGCGAAGGCGCAACATCGTCATCGTGGAGTGTCCAACAAGTAATTAGGAAGATACAGCATCTTTGCGCAAGTGAAATTTCTGATTTCATTATTTTCCCTCATTTAATTTCTTATTCTGTTTCTTTCCCTCATTTCTCTTTATCAATGATTGAGCGCTAGTCGCGCGATCGCTTAGTCTTTTTCCGTCCTAATTATAATTTCAACACCTTTGAGTTCCCGACGCGAAATGCCGGCTACAGTGCGATCGCGCCTCGAAAGTAACGGAGAAAGCAGCAACATCAGCGAATGCTGGCGCTCGTCATACGCTTTGGATTAGAGCCGCTACGCGCTCACATTTCTTTTGTATCTGTTAGTTCAGTAGTTTTTATAAGTTATTCCTCATATTTTTGTTGTGCTTACGTGTTTTTGCTGTATCAACTAGCGCTTCATTGTAACTCACTTCATACTGACAATCTTACCTCACTTAGACTACTTTGCAATAAATATGTATATTGACACTGTCGACTACCATAGATTAGGGACCTCAGCAAGGGAACAATACAAGTAAGAAGAGCAAAATTTAATTTTCCTTCATTCTTTCTTTTCTTTTCTTATCCTTCAGGACACCCTGGGAGTGCACTCCACTATTTTGCGTCCTATCCAAACTTTGTGCACACTTACCCCACTAAAACCATTTCAAAATTGTACTTTTTTTCTCAGTTTCTTCTTTCTTGTATTGAGCCCTATCTTATATATACTTACCTATAGCGCATTTTACACCACGCGCAAACGACTTTCACTGCCATAATTATCCTATGTTTTAGCAGCGCAAAACATCCGCGCTTTTTGATTCAAGTACATACATTTTTTGTTGTTGTTCAGGTCGACGCTTAGCCAGGAGGCACTATAGAAGAACAACAGTCTACTCACAGCCATCCGCGACATGGCCGATATGTCTTCGCTCCGCCGTGAATCAACGAGGAGACCAGGCACTTCCAATGCCCGGTTACATCATCCTGCTCTCGCGGGAGGCTGGACTGAAGTCCACTCTTACTTAGCTGGTCGCGTAGGTCTCGCTGCTCAGCAGCAAGTGACAACGCCCGTTTTTTGCGCGAGCGAAACATGTGAAGCTAGTGTGTTAGTCGTGTCATTCTGGCTATTTTAGTTACCCGTAACTCAATGCTATCTGGGTGTTTTGTGTAAGCGCGCGCTTGAACACGATGCCTCACCGCGGCGCGCGTAAGTAAAATTAGGGCGAGCTAGTGCGTAGCAGTGGTCAGAGAGGATTGAGAGCATGATTTGTTGAGATTTATCTGACCTAAACTGCGATTGTTTCAGCAAGATTGAGCAGTATGCAGTGGTTGGCGTGTGGACGTGCGGTCGAGTGTCATAGCAGTTATGGTACGTGTCTGATCCACACCATGGTCACTTGGTTTGGTTGGACGCGGCATGATGCTCCACTGATTGCGCCTCTAGCAGCCGCCAAACTTTTTTACATTTAGTTATTGTACGTAGTTATCTTTGAATAGCAGTTAGTTTATTTAGCTGTTTAGTAGTATAACTTCTATCCATTTGATCGTATTTACCTGTATTGATCCCGTGTCGTTCTAAGTTTATTTTTTGCTATGCTTATTACTTGTTTATTTTAGCGCGGGCCGGGTTTTACTCATCCAACTTTTTCATCGCGCGCT